GATGTGGTAAGTAACAGAGAATGACCAATTTTCCCATAGCTCTTCATACACTTCTCACAGTATAAAAGTTTAAGTAAGTATAGAAAAAACATTCAAAATGAAAATTAGTTCTCCTGATTTTAGTGATACTTTTGAAATATATTTAATTAAAATGTTATTCATTTTTTTCAAAATTATTATTGTATTACTACTGTCTAGCAACTCGAAAAGTCTCAGAGGCCCAAAGGACTTTGCTCAATGCAAACCTACTTGGATGCTCATGGGGCAGCTCTTCTCATTCTTGTGGGACAGAGAGATATTGAGGAGAGTGGCTTCTTGTCACCATCAATGGATGCAGAGTACAAGCTATCCCTTAAATATATCATTTTGAAAGGAGGTGCGTTAAAATAGAATGTTTTTTTATGGAAGAAATCTGGTTTAAAAAAAACACACATTTTTTAACCAATATCACATTAAATTTATTTTCTGGGACACGTTTTAGAACAGCAAAGCTATGCTAAGATTTTCAGTGATAACCAGTTGTATAGTTGATCATTAACATTCTGAATGAATTCAGTTCCCTAAAAATTTTAAAAGCAGGATGTTTCAAAAGGTTGTTATGGTAGCTAATATTAAATTTTGTGATAGGGACTGTTCATTGTTTTGAAATATTTTGACAGGTTTTGGAAGATCTAAAAAAAATAGCAGAAAGTCGGGGGCCAAAACCAAGTCTTCAACCAGTCTAAATAAATCTGAAAGTTTGAAAGAACATCGCCCTGGCAGTGAATCTAAACTTCCAGAAAGAAGTGAGAGCATGCGGCATGATCAAATCCTGGCCTACGGCGGATCATCAAACATGGGCATCACGCTGCCAAGTCCAATAACAGAAGAAATATTCGGTAAGAAATATTTTTTTATTAAAGTTCTTTTCCCCCATTATTTATGTACCTGTATGTTAAATTTTGAATATTCATTATCATTATTAATATAATTTTATGTTTTTGTTTTACGGTCACTATGCTGGAGTATGCAATATATATTTATATTTTGGTAGTGGTTTTAAAGACGTTCTTATATTCTAATTAATTTTTGCATTTATGAAAATAATAAATAAAGATAAAATCACACATCATTAACCTCTTACTTTACAGCTTGGGGAATATATTTTAATTTTAATACCACTTATAGCTACAATTTTTATCTATATTAAAAGCACAACTGATTTTAAGGTGCTGTAATATTTGCTTAAATAATGCTATTTTTTTGTTCATTTAGAGATTTTTTTTGTTTTGAATATATTATCAACATAACAATTACTTAAAGATATTGACTGCTTAAAACTAGTTGTATTATTAAATCTTTAATAAATTTTTTAATGAAGTAATTGTAATAACATTATATTTATAATCTCATTCTCACACAATGTAGTAAACATTATATATTTTACTTGGTTGATCTGATAGAAAAATGAAACAATACTTTTGGTTCACAGCTTATTCCCCGCTTCAAACCAGTCTACAAGAACCCCAGACCGAGAAAATGATTGAGGAGCTTTCAGATAGCTCTGAACCTCCTTGTCCAGACAGTATTGAAACTGTAACCTTCTCAGGCCAGAGTCCTCATTTCAGCAATGCTAAACTTTATAACCAATATGAACTTCACCAAAGACCAAAAGTTCTTTTGAATACTTCCAAAGAAAGTCCATCTCAAAATGTACATACCTGCCAAGGGATCACAGCTATGTCTTCCCAAAATGGACTAAATTCTGTAGAAACTCAGAACCATTCAAGACAAACTTCAGGGGACATCGAATCTTTAAATGAACAATCTCATCAGATCACACAAAATTTAAAAGTCACCAGAAATGAGAATGATCATTCTGTTTACCCTAGGCAAACATCTTCAGACATCCAAATAACTGGTGGTCAGGTTGTGGAAAAACTGGTGACTTTGAGCACTCTTGAAAATACAGAGTCAAAACTAAAAATTGAAATGTTAACAAACATTACTGCCAAACCACAGAGCAATAATTTTGACTTGACTGATGGGAGAACTTCAAACCCATTACAGCACAGAGAACAACGTGAGGCTTCTCAATACATTAACAAAGACTGTAGTCTTAAAGAACCATCTTCAAGTGAGGGAGATTTTCATCAAACGTTATCCACTGAAACTGATAAATCTAAATCTGATTTTAGGTCTACTCTCAACACTGAAACTGGTTTGAATGAAATTGAAGAACAGATCAAAGCTCAGGTAGTTTTAATTTGCTAACTAGATAATGTCATATATGATCTAATCATCCGTTTGTTAAATTCAGTCCAGCTTAACTTAACATTTTTTTTAAAATCCAGTAAATTATTGTCACAAAATACAATGAGAGAATAAGTCTTCAGCTATTTTATTTACCATTATATTTTTCCTTATGGAGCCCACACCTGTTTGTAGTATTATTCTTTGAAAGGAACATAGAAGTTACGTATCATATTTATTAAAATTAAGAATATAGATCACTAAATTTAGAATCATTTAAAGACAAGATTTTGAAATGAAATTACTTTAAATGAACCAGATATACCGGTATGAATTTTTATTTTGAATTATTTCACATTTGTTCACAGAAAGATAGCATTGCTTGCTTGCAGAGACGCTTAGAAGAAATGAGCAGGTAATATAAGCAGAGTAATTCGTATCAATCGCATGAAATGTTCACATCAATGATTTCTTAAAATTTAGTTTTAAATAAAACTTGTTTAGAAATTAAATTTGGACCTCACTTGTCTTTTTGTTAATTTTGGGACTGGGATGTCAAAGGCTGCCCTCAGTATAAAACATATGAATGTCTTAAAAATATTTAAGAATAGACATTGTCATTTGTCAGTCAATATGCATCTTGAGCGGCAGCCTTAAAAAAATATTATTTCTTTCTATTATTTGTATTCTGGATGTTTTTAAATTAACTTTATATTGCTTAATATGAATATCAATTTGTATCTAATATTTGGAAATTTCTTGACAGGACTGTTGAGGAAAGCTGTTGTATATTTCCAAACAAGTATCAAGAACTTTCAAACCCTGGTAAATATTAATTTCACCTTATACTTTTTACATTTTTCCAAGAGGGAAAAGTAGTTGAAGAGGTTTAAAATATTTTTATCGCAAGGGATTTTCATTTTATTTTAGAGGATGTGTAGAAAATATGTTAAAAATCCAAAATAAATATAGGTTATTTAGGATAAGGATTGCTTTAGATTTTAAAACATTTTATCTTTTGATATTAGGCTTAAAAGAATGTAACTAAAGTTTGCAACTTATTTCTTCACATCACCATCCAAAACTTCTGGGATTCAAATAGCAAAATTCATAACGATTTGTTCAAATCAACAGAAATTATTGAAATTTGCTTTGAAAAGCCAGATGGGTGTGAAAAAAAGAAGTTTCTGTTGGACAATGGACGTCTACACCTGGAGTCAGTAAAACTTGCCTTTGGTTTGGCTACTGTGGAGATTTTACTGGGTAAACATTTAAATCATCCTCTCCATTCTCTTTCACATACAATATTTTCACTCTATAACTAGTTTAACTTTTGAAGTCATTTTTCACAAATTTTGTAAAAATGATTTCCTTATTGACATTTAAATATAGAAATGTTATGTGTTTTTTTTACATTTTTCTACAGATGGTGTTTCTTGTGTTGTGTGTGCTAACATAGATGGATATATACCTATCAAATTTTCACCTTTTTCTGAGATAAAAATATCAGGACTTCCCACATCACACAACCATGATGCTTGATAATTCCATCAAAGTTTTGATCATTTTATTTAATTGTATCAAAGTTGTTTGTGAATAAAATGACTTCAATCGTGTCAAAGTTTTCTGTGAATACCAGCACCATAATTGTTGATCAGTCTACACACATGCTTCTAAATTTAAACAGTTTCAGCTGAATTACAGGATTGTTAAATTGCCTCTTAAGGTAATGTATCGTGACATGAATGAAAGATTCTTAACATAATTATGATTTACAGTAGTTCAGTGTTAATTAAAATGTATGCTTTCAATGGTATTTTCAGAAAACGAAACATATTTTTGCTAAAGTTTAACTGTGTTTTCATCATTTACTTATAGATGAAAATGTAATCATTGATGGATTAAGAATGATGAAAACCTTGAAATATTTGACATTCATTTTTGAATCATTATTGATTTTAATAAAATTCAGTCCATTCAAAATTTGATTTTTAAAAATATTTACAGACTGTAATTTCCAACACTGGTACTTGCTACAAAATATAGAAGCCAGGACCATTACTTACATGACATAAACATAACTTTTCTGTGTTCATATTATAAGTACAATTTATATTTAAAGTGATCTGTAAAATATTCGCTAATTTTATCTTTATTCAGGGGGATCTTTCATATACCATTTAAGTGTTCCTTTTTATGACATGTTGAAATTTGTTGACTTAGTTGAAATTTACACTTTTGTGATTAATCACATTCCCAAACAAGTGGGTAAAGCATATCAATTAGCTTTTACAACTTATAACCACACAGCTTTTTAATTAAGGTGCTATTCATGTAACCAAAGTTAGTCCTTTTTTGGGTTACTTTTTTAAGTTACCGTACTTTTTTTAGCAGGTTATTCTCAAACCCAGAAATCTGTTCATTATTAAAAACACCAGTTTTGTAATGTACACGTCTGTACTCCATTTTGGACCATTTTAAACTTCAGCATCAAGCCAATGAAAATAAATGAATTGTCAAATTACTTACATTTATGGACATATCCATTTTAAGAAAATAACCACAAGATGTGAAGTCATGAAGTTCATGTTTGTCATGATATAACTGCCAATATTTACTTGTGCATGAGATTAATAATGTCAGTCTGGACTTGGATTCGACTTAGATTCTTATTCATATGGAAAAGGAAATGTGTGTTTAATGTGAGGCTTATGAAGAATTAACTTAAAGTAATTTTGTTATTGAACACCCCCCCCCCCAAAAAAAAACCAACAACTTTGGATAGTGATTGCAAAACATTGGTAAATTTGCTGAAGTAGGATTATCTAAAATGATTCAGAAACATGTTTTACACTTGATATAGTTATGATGTAAACTTGCTTTGTTGTCAGTTTTGTAAATTGCTACTCCGAATTTTACACAATTTTTTGGCAAGTCTTTGTATACTTAACCACTTTTGTACCATGCATGAAAATAACAATTAAAGCTAGTTTTACAATTCAATAACAACTTTTATTATGAATCCTTTAGATTATGTAAAAAATATTACATTGACAGTTCCCAGGTTCATAATGTAACAAAAAAAAGGTACCAATTTGAACACTGATAGTGGCGATAACAATCATGTAGTAAAAATCTATACAATCATAGTAAAAAGCAGCAAAATAATTAAAATATCTCTAATACATACAGGTTGGCTTGTAGCTCCATGTGGTATCTATTGTGGTTAAGACTCATAATGACAATATGTGATGCAACAACTCCCTTTAATAATGGTAGTACAACTAAATCTACTGCACCACAAACTTGAAGTCTGCACAAGATATTTGCTGGTTCAAGTTGTCATGTTAAGCATTACAATGACACCTTGTGCAATCAAATGTTTGTTTAAAAAAGGGACATCTCTATATGGTACTTCAAACTGATCTCACTAATTATTTTTGTAAACCCCATTAGTGTTCGTGTTGAATAAAAAGAAACTTACTGTTAAAGAAAATGGTTTTATTATTTGCAAGGGTCTTAACCAGGATAGTGTTCGTGTTGAATAAAAAGAAACTTACTGTTAAAGAAAATGGTTTTATTATTTGCAAGGGTCTTAACCAGGAAACTGCAGTCAATGTCAAAAAAGTGTTCATACAATAACTCATGCAATGCAAACCATTGATAATTTGTAATTTTTTCAATTAGAATGAGTTAAAAATCTATGCACCAAAGAGATACTTTTATTTTAAAAAATATGTTTTTTGCATCTTTTAGAAATGCAATTTTTTAAAATGTTAAAATAGTGTTTTATATGGATAGGAACTTCCCCACATCTATTATTTGGAACGCACTTCCAGTCGCTCTCAGAAACAGCCAGACACTGGAGTCCTTTAAAATCGATTTAAAAACTCATCTATATCGCAAACACCTTCTGGGGTGATGCTATCTACCATATTTTTCAGTTAATGTATATTGGCTTGTGTTGCTTATGGTTGAAACGGGATGAAAGACTTTGACTGGGTATACTCGTATGTAGTTTGATTGGGTATCCTCGTATGTAGTTTTATATTGTTGCGTCTGTTTTTAAATGTGGTAAATTTTAGATTGTTTTTATTTCTCTTTTTAATATGGTTGACTTTGTACAGCGCTTCGAGCTTTTGGGGATGAAGCGTGTTTTTCAAATAAACTTTATTATTATTATTATTATTAAAATTAGTTTAAAACCTAATGGAAACATTTTAGATATAAAATATGTTTAATCACAGTTACATAATTAAAATTGTGTTATTTTCATTCGGTTAAAATCAATTTAAAAAAAAAAAATTCTCATTGTTATGGTTTATAACTCTATGCTATGTCTAACTCTGACAGTGGAAATTATATATATAAATCTATTTTACATAAATAAAATAGGTTGCAATTAAAATTTTATTTGTTGTACTGTTTTGCTTGCAATAAGGCTTAATTACCCTGGTAATCAACTTTTTCTTGGTAATTAAAAGAATTCAGGTATCCATATTTTTAATGCAGTATCTTTGATGTTTGTTTTAAAAATATGTTTGGTATATAGCTTTTGTTACATAATATTTGTTTACATTTAATCAATAATTTGTCGTTGCATGTAAAACTGAAAAATAAATATAATTGACTTGACTTTAAATACCGGTAGTTAAGTTAATTTGATTCCATTGTTAACTAATCAAAATTTGATTTTTTTAAACACACACTTTTCTTACTTCATCAAACCCTAAGGCTTGTTTAAGAAACCTTTAAATCAGACAACTTTAGGGCCAGTTAAACGTTTAATGCAGCCTGTAAGACCAGGGTTAATGTTTTCATAAAATGTAAACATTTTCAAAAGATATTCTGTAAAAGTCTTGAAAATTAATAAATACAGTGTAAAATTGTCTTAACTGTATGTAATAATAACCTGCCTATTTTCAAACTGAACTTGGAATTAATTTTTGAAGCCCACCTTCAATTAGGTACATTAACATAGATCCTTAATTCTTTAAAATATCTGGCCAAGCAACCAAGTCTGTGATTTCTAAAGTGTTTGAATACAACTACTAAAATTAGTAGCATCTAATTTAAAACGAAGTGGCTATTCGTACCCAGGTACCAGAAGTGAGAGATTGGGATTAAAAAACTATTTAAAATATTATTGTTGGGTTTATAAGACAAAATGAGGTATCAAATGAAAGATAATTGAATGGACTATATTTTTGTACACTTACTTCTTCAGTTAACTAAAATAAACTACCACATCCTAATAGCACTGAGTCAAATGGACCCAGACACGCAGCGCTGCCATTCGCACTCGGGACCATTAGACTCGGATGTAATTTGTGGTAATTTGCTCACTTCCCAACATTGAAGATACAGACATTATCAGAATGTGCACAAAAATCATATATTATCTTTGGAAGAGTTTTCAAGATGGTTGAGCAATTTTAAAGCTTTTGGGGACCAGTTGGTTCTTCTCAACAGGCCATTTTCAGACCGGTATATTGGCAAAGCTTCTACTGATCTGCAGCTGGAATCAACAAACAGACTGACAACATTCTCAAAGAGAAATTCAAAGGCATGGAGTTAAAAAACATTTATGCACTTCTATATGATGATATGTTTCCAAATATAAAACACTTGGCCTTGAAAATGATTGTTTTATGTAGCTAATCCTACACCTGAGGACAAGGCTGCATGAACATCAATAAACCCAAGTATAGGTATCAGCTCACTAATACAAATTTGGATTCTATATTTTATAATACATAAGTACTTTGATTCTGTATTATGGGAAACCAGTTAAAAACTACTTAAAAGCTAAAAAAAAGTGTAATTAAATAATAGTATTTACTATGTTCTTTTGATACTAACAGACTAGCACTTTCTCCACTGTTAACTAGTTATCAGATGCCATCTGTTTGTTATCATAGCAATACAATTATTAAATATGTGTTAAATGTGTTCAATATAGTATAGTACTATCTGTAAGCATCATCTGCACCGTAATTATTTTAAAAAATTAAAAATTATTAAATGTGTACGATGTATTGTTTATAACTCTAGATTCCTAGAGATTCTCATGCTCCCAGCAAAAAAAAAAAAAAATTCCATGCAGCCCTCTGCACAAAATTATGGCCATCCCTGTTTTAAATCAATGGTAATGGCAAATTTAAACCAGATAATTGTAAAATATCTAGTTAGTTTTGTTATAAACTCCAGTTTGTGGTGGCAAGTCTATTTTAATAGGGCTTTTGGTGACTACTCGAATCAAAATACCCTTGTCATAATGTTGTAGCCAAATGCTTCATTAGACACCATTTCACTTTCCTTTCACCTGTAACCAAATGTTCTGGATGGATTACATACATTATGGCCAAGAAATCTTGTTGATATGTCTCTTTGCCGATGAAGTGTTTGAATCCTGTTGAATTGATAGAACATGTGAATCATGAGCACCATCATTGATTGGATTTTATTTTTAGTCTTAAGAAAAAGGTCTATGTAATTTTAATTAATCCAGTTTAAATTTTTTATTTACATTATTTCTGTTCATGTCATATAAAATTAAGATTCTCAAGCTCTGTGACAATTATTTAACAGAAGTTAAAAATATAATTGACACCAAATATTAAAATAAAATCTCAAAATCAAAATCACTTATAAAAACACAAAATAAATAAGAATTAAATTCCAGAAGAAGCATTTCAGATTGCTAAGTAAAATGAAATTATAATTTCTTACCTCAGAATTATTTTCCTCAGTAGTCTGTGGTCTTTTCCTTTGATTAGATCCAGTGCTTTTACCTTGATCTCCTTTAGCATCAATTGTTGAGTCTTTACAAGCATCCAATGTAATTAGTTTGCTAAAATCTTTGATGATAATATCATTTGAATTATTTAGTCCAACTTTTGAAGTGTTAAGTTTCACAACTTTTTTATCCAAAGTTTGGGAGGCAGGTGGAGGCTTCAGTCTGCTTCCAGAGCCATGTGGGTTGTCATCCAAATTAGGATCTTTTATGTTGGACACCCTTTTCCTACAAAAGAAATCATCTAGCTAAAAAATTTGATTTAGTTTAAAGAAAGGCATATTTATTTTTAAACAATGAAAATCAAGTGATCCACTTGGGTAAAAATTAAACAAGACTTGTGTCGTGTAAACTTGCAATACGAAATTAGACAAATTTAGTGTATTTACTTTGATAGAGGCTGAACTGATGCATCATTGATTTCTAATCGTCTTTTCTTTGCCATTGAGGATTGCTTTTTTGTCATTTCTCTGCCTCGTCTGTTTAATCTGTAGATTCTTTGAGGTAATGGCAAAATATATTGATTGTATAGTTCCACAAGGGCATCTTTATCAAGAGACTCCAAGTCTGTCAGTGTCTGTCCGATAAAACGCTGAAAAAGATAATAAAATATGCTTTATCATTCATTAAGTTAAAATTTAATTTTGATTAATTCCTTTGGCTTCTATAAAATGTTTGGCTAATTTTGGGTTAGCGGTAAGGCTGGTGATGGGTTTCACAGTTTATAGGTCATGGAGGCTCCAGCAGGTCAACTTCTGTCTATATCTCCCTATTAAAAAGATTTAGAATTTATCTTTGTGTTTACTTGATGCAAGTTTTTTTCTCATTTTCTATTTTTGAAAGAGGAGGAGGAGTATCCTCTCACCAGAAGATTATTTTCTTTCTTATTTTCTATTTTAATATTGAAAAAAAAAAGGGGAGGGGGGGGTGTGGTTGAGGAGGGGTGTTACCTCCCTAGAAAATTATGGCAAAATGTCCTTCCTGACCCAGTTCCACTGTATGTATAACGTGCTCTCATTTTAATGGTAATTTTATATGACTTAAATTTTCAGAATTATTGCTAATTTTAAAATGTTATTTTAAAAATGTTATGCAATTATAAATAGATTGTAACTTAAATAGTTATGCACTATATATATACAAATAAAGTACCAATGTTTTAGCAAACTGGTACTTCGATTTTCAACTAATCAAAAGGCCTCACTTTTAGCGTGCATCTTTTTTTCTTCCCCTGTGTTAATCTTGGAGGTATCCAAAATGATGTGTTTCTTTTTTTATTTCTTTTGATAACTTGTAAATTGAATTTTAATAAAAATGAATAGAAAATGTCATTTTAATACACTTCATTTTAACCATATCTTCTTCTTCTATATTTTGATGGCCCACAATCAATGTATTTAAAAAATTCTGGCTCCTATGTTTGTAGAGGGGGTTTGCAATGCTTCTGAGCATGGTTTTGAAGAGGATACTTCACTGGTTGCAAGGGCTACTCAGCGATGGTATCAAGAACTGGGGGTTGGAAGGCAGGAGGCAAGAGACTCAAATGTTGTTGCCTCAACTGTTCCTTTTGAAAGCTTGTTCCAGTCCCTGATTGTCTTTGGCAGGAATGAGCAGTTCCTGAACTGTGATCTTGCTGTTATGAGCGGGAACTGCCTGTCATGGCCTAGTTACTGTCAATATCAATTGTCAGATTAAGTTTACAATGCAAGCCATGCTCAATGAAGAACAGGAAAGTTATCACACACATCAATCAGGTCCTTCAATTGGTCTATTCACTCTAACTCCAGTGTTGAGATTGCCCAAAATGACATCAGAGCGCTTAGGTTGAGACAACTCTTGGCAAATCGCATACTGCTAGCCCAAAATGTACAAAAAGTTGCAATAATACAACTTAGGCCTAGATCTACTCATTGTACTGTGACTGTACTATGTTAAAGTACATAAATAGTGGAACGAGATTCAGATATGTTTATATATTAATTTTCAAGCCCCACCACATCTTGTTCCACTACTTATATTTACTTTGACTTTACATGGCTTAGAATGAGGTCCCTCATAAATTATCCTTTGTTGTTATAAATTACGATTTAAGCTTTTTAAAAAAAGTATAGACATAGCTGGAAGTAGATTTGGGAACTTCCATGACCTATTTATAACGGAAGACATCACCAGTGGTACCCCACAAATCCTACCTCAGCTTTTATAGACATTACAGAAAATACTAGTTAGAGGCCAGAGGAAGTCACTCTATAAAATTAAAATAACGAATACAAAAATGTTAGGCTACATAGATAACTTATTTAAGTATTTTACTACTAAATGATCTCACCTACACCTAAAATTACTAGTTGAACTAGCCGTTACCAAACTAGTAGGCACTTTGGTGAAATTAAAGCATAAAAATACTTCAGCCGTATACAGATAGATCTATAATCTATACTTATAATACTATAAATATAATAAAATAAACTACCACACATGTCAATAGATACTCTGCTGAAGCAACGGACACTCCTAGTAAATTTGTATCGGAAATGGGCGTTGGCGCAATAGAATCCGATTTTTTATTTTTTCATGTAATTTGAATAAATTAGGAGTTCTTTAGGCCCATAATTAAGGTTTGACTCCGCCCATTAACGTTAGGAGAAATGTTGAACTACATTCCCATTGAGTTAATTTGTTCTTTATCTCAACTTTAAGTGAGGAAAATCGTATGTCAACTTCGCATTAAAAAATTTGGTCTAAATATTCAAAGTAGGTCTTTCATATTAAAAGTAGGCCTGCATAATTTGTTTAAGTACACATGTGCAAAATTTCATTGGGATAGCTCATGAAACATTTTCACAATTCTCCTCAACGTTGACCTCATTATGCAAAAGTCGCACAGGCCATATTGGATTAGTGATCGCGGAAAATGCTGATACTTAGCTTAGGCTTAGGAAATATTCATTATTACCTCTATATACATCAAAATATTTGATAACTTGTGTTTCGGAATGCATTTTGAAGACATTTAAACCAGAATGTTTAAATTTGAGCTTTAAAAACCTGGTAGAGTCCATATTATTAACGATCAGAATTGACAGTGTGCAAAAACTCATGGGAAACCATTCACAGCCATTTGCATAATGCTATGCCGTAGTAATACCTCAAGTTTCATTCATAAGAGTTTGCAGTGTGCAAAAACTATTAACACCATTGGTCAAGGAAAACTTTAGTTAATTAGTCATGTGCCAAAGTTGAAAGTTCAAAATAAGTAGATCCCAAACAATATTTTAGGGGGTGCGTTGCCTTATATAGAGTATATAGCATATACCAGTATAAAGGACACTGTAGATTTGGTAAACAGAAAAGCCATACATTATTTAAATTTATTGTTATACATAGTGCATAGTTAGATAAACTATATTTTATATATAATTGTATAACATTATTAACATCATTTGTTAATACAGCATTAGTTGTGCCAAAGTTGAAAGTTCAAAATAAGTAGATCCCAAACAATATTTTAGGGGGTGCGTTGCCTTATATAGAGTATATAGCATATACCAGTATAATGGACACTGTAGATTTGGTAAACAGAAAAGCCATACATTATTTAAATTTATTGTTATACATAGTGCATAGTTAGATAAACTATATTTTATATATAATTGTATAACATTATTAACATCATTTGTTAATACAACATTAGTTCTGAAAATAAAAGTTGCATAAAATTATCATTAAAACGAGAGTTATATAGGGAATATAGCTCGTGATACGAACAGTGGAATTGGGTCACAGAATGTGGAGATGCAGTCCATGTTAAAAAATGACAAATCAAGTCGTACTTTAAAAATTCATAACTTTAAAACTACAACAGCTAAAAATATGATTTTGGTGTTATAATTCTTTAAAAAATTAGCTCTATTCAAGTATGCCATTGTTTTATTTTTACAAAAAGTTTCCATTTTCTTATCAAAGTACCTAATATCAAATCATAAAAATGACATGGGAATAGCATTTGCCTCATTTTGTCTAAATTAAAGTTTATACAAAACAAAGGGACCTGGGTCCATTTAGACTAAACTAAATGCTATTCGACTTTTCGTATGTCATATTTCATTTGTGGTAGTTTATTTTAGTTAAACTGAAAAAAGTAAGTTTACAAACACATATGCCATTCTCATTTGATTATCTTTCATTTGATACCAAATTTTGTTTTATAAAAACCCCACAAATTTACAATAATTTCAATAAATAATACTAATACACGATAATTTTAAGGGAAGCGTTATACGCAGTCGGCTGGGAATTTAGCCAAATAAGGTTTATTATCGCTAGTTTGGCAATTAAAAAAAAAAAGTATTATTCGTAATTAGCTGCATTATGGGTTGTTTTGAACTATAACTTTTAATGTGTTTAATTAACGTAAAATTTTAATTGAATTAATTTTAATTAATATTGAATGATAGTAATAGTATTAGTGCTATTATTAGTATTATTGCTTGTATAATCTTATATATTATAATTATAAATCTAAGTCAAAGTCTACATTTTTTAGAGTCTAAGCCTGAGAAGATGATTTTTTAAAAGACATTTCTATGGTCTAAGTCTAGTTCTGTATTCTGATTGATTAGTTTTTTTAAATGTTGCTATGACCATCATGTGGTTGGTTTTACTGACTAATTCAGGAAATACATTCTATTTATTTTTAAAAATTATATAATTTATTATTATTTTTTGTTGTTGACCTAAATGTAACAGTTTTCAGCTTCCATGCAAAACTATAACTGTGTGAAAGTATTACTTACATACAGTGCCCTCTCTACAGAACCCCCTGCCCCCACAGCTATTTTTTCTGCTTCTCACCACCCCTGATTATAATTACTGTACCACAGAAACATGTTTTTATCTGCCACAAAATTAGTTAACAGCACAAAATATATATTAACAACACAAACATATAATATGATAATTATAAGAATAACATTATTAACCTCAAGTTAATAATTCTTATCATGTTTAAACATGTTTTAGCCACAACAAAATAAAACAATAAGCCTAGCTGTTTTTGCTCCATTCTCGAGAACAAGCATAACAACTAACACATATTCATGGCTGACCATCGGCTGGAATTGAACTCAAGTCCACCAATTTCAGGTTTGCTCAGTTTAGACCATTCGACCACCCAGTCAATCTGATTAGGAGGCACCTTTATCGATCGATAGTGTTACACAGGACTCATATAGACCTCACGTGACTTGCCGACTGCGTATAATAACTCTCAGGGTTATACGCAGTTGGCTGCACATAACCACTTCGTAATTTTAAATATTTTTTAATAAATTTTATAAAATAAACCACACCTGTTTACTCTTATGATTTTGGCATACAATGTACGATTTTGAGGTGTAAACATATATACTGTATGTTTATTTTTTACTATAAATAATATAAGGTATTGAACGATTTTGTGATGATATTGTTTTATTGTACGATTTAAAGGTAAACATGTCTGATAAACCCAACCTCTCACTTCTGAAACCCGGATAGCCGCAGCCATCAACTAATAGTTGAGTATTACTTCTTATTTAAATTTAGACCAACCTGTTGTAAAATGCATATGAGACCCTCTTTAGATAATAATTCAGGATACAACAATTCGACATGGTCCGGAATAATAGTCGATTGCATGGGGTTAGCCATTTTTGAAGTTAGCAGTTGTAAATTTGTAAATAGACAAGTTAAGAAAACGGATATGAAGACTCGATTCGTTTGGAATCGGAATGATGGAAGTACTTGTATGTGATTATTGAAAAAAATAAAAAGAATGCACCTTTCTTATAATAATAAATTTTAGGTCAAAGGTTTGATAACGCTTTCATATCCATTAGTATTCAAATATGGTAATGAACATGTATAGAAACTAAGATATAATCTCTAAAATGTTTAACGATTGGAGATTTTAGATGGGTAAAAATTAGAAATAAGACCTAAAAATAAATATATTTCACAAGTCTAGGCTAAATTTAAATGTGAAATGTATTTTACAAGGAAAAAATAATTGCGTAAGGATTTATACAATAAGATTTTTAATGTAGGTTGAAGCATATTTTTAAAAATAAAATAATTAATATACGAAATTTTAGTATTAAATGTAGTAAGATCAACCGTGACTTAAAATGCATCACTTTTGTTTAGATATTCGCCACTTTACACTTACGGTGCTGACTTAGAATTTAAAAATATAAAACGGGTAGAAGAAAACCTGAAGAAGGACAATATTAAATATCAATACTGGCAATACAAGAAAGTGGAGCTTTCTTCCAAATATCCTTCTGGTTCGAAAACAAAATTTAGACTTAAGTTGCTGTTTTTTTCCAAAACTCGCACTTAATTGATATTTATTTCAGTGATTTTTTACTATTTCAATCAATGAACTATAGCCATTATAGGGTCAGTAGAGTCACTTTTTTATATTGCTTAGATCTGCTATGTCCTTGCTATGATGATATTAATAAGGGACAAATCCCTAAAGTATCGAGGATCTGAATTAGTATCGCAAATTACGATACCATTGAATCCTAACGTCATAATTGAAGAATTCTAGCAGACGGTAAGATAGTTCCAAGTTATTGACAAAAACAATTGTCTATTTTGGATAGAGAGAGGAATTTTTTAATTTAAAAAAAAAAACAGTTTTTTATTATTATTTACTCTCTTACTAAATCAGTTAATAATATTTTTTTAAAAATCAAAATGAATCATTTTAAAAAATCGAGTAAGTAGCCCTAAAAAATGGTTTACTTTTACTTTCATTTAAAATTTATCTTATCATTTATTAACTGTAGAACTGTAGGCTGTAGACTGTAGACAGACTGTTGCCAAGTGTTGCAGTAGCTTGTTGTCTGTAACTGCAGACTGTTGTACATCGAGTGAAGTCTGTAGTAGGCTAATTACAAATATTTCTTATTGTTTATTTTGCCAAGTCCAGTAAAAATTATTGTAGTCTTATTATTACTTATTTTATTATTGATTCGAAAAATGTAGTTGTAGTAGTAGTAGGCATATAGTTTATCAGTCTATCTTATGACTTTATAAAATTACCATAAGGCCGTCCATTATCATTAATTACAAATAACGTCAACAATTTTTTGCAATTTTTGACCCCTTCTCACCCTTTTCATTGTCAACAAAACAAATGTAAAACTTTCACTTTCAATGACCCCCACCCCCCTAAAAAATAATTATGTCAACCTTTGTATCCCCCCCCCCCTAAAATTAATTATAATTAATAATAATATTAATAATAATACTTTTCATTGTCAACAAAACAAATGTAAAACTTTCACTTTCAATGACCCCCACCCCCCTAAAAAATAATTATGTCAACCTTTGTATCCCCCCCCCCTAAAATTAATTATAATTAATAATAATATTAATAATAATATAAATAAATATATAAATACATTTTATTTTTTTAATTTTACTTTGTAGTGATCTAGTTTAATAACTTAACACAAAATTGTAGGGAAAACATTAAATTTTATTGCATCTTTACCTTGAAATGATGTAATGAACAGTAATGTTAAGCAACAATGGCAACAAGTTAAAAAGTTTTTACACTTAATTTTTTTAATACAGAATCAATGAAAAGTTTGTTAAAGGCTAAATATAATTGTTTGTGGAAGTAGAAATATGATTATTGTCAGTATAGCTGACAATTGTAGCATAGTTTCTAGCTGCTATCATCTTCACAGGGAGTAGCCAGATGTTGCTCTATCGTAACAATGGGCATAGTTGTAGATTTATCATTTTCATCTTGTCAGGTTCACCAAAACACACACTTCTTAGAAAAATTACAAAAGGTTCAAAACTCAGCTGCTAGGCTGGTTCTAAAGGCAAAGAAAACTTGATCACATCACACCACTACTTCATTCACTTCATTGGCTCCTCGTATAAGCCTGGCTTGACTACAAACTCTCTGTTCTCTGCCACAACTTTTTCTCGAATTCATGCCCTTCCTATTTAACTGAACTTCTCTCTGTATATTCACTCCTTCGACAGCTTCACTCCTTCACAGACTCGCGTATTCTTTCTGTCTCCAAGACTCGCACAAAAACATACGGTGAGTGATCTTTCTCTTTTTGTGCCACCAAACAATGGAATTCTCTTCCACTACACATCTGCAATATACCTACCATCACAGCCTTCAAAACTGCACTCAAAACACATCTCTTTAAACTCTACTATCCAGACTGATTTCCCCCTATGACTGATAAACGATGCTGCTGGGTGCCGTCCATGGCTTGACATGTAAATAAATAGTTATGGAATGGGTGGAGTGAAGATACATTAATTGTTTTGTTTTATTTAATTAATGTATGTTAATTTTTAAGTTCATGAGTATGTTTGTTAAATTGTATGTACAGCCCTAGACTGGGATACCGAGCTATATAAAACTACTAGTAATAATAAAATAATATCAGACAAGTTAACATCATCCTCATCTAACCATTCAGCAATTAAAATCTTATATTGTTAAAAGCCTAAAAATTATACAACTATTCTAATTTACACTCATTAAATTTGTTAAAATAATATAATTACCAGTCAATTTTTAAGATTAAAATTTTATTAGAGAAAACATGATTGTCGATGTCAAATTATCTACCCCCCCCCTCCCCCTTGTCAACAATTGCTAAACATTTCCACCCCCTCCCCCCTATTTTGTTGACACAATGAATGGATGACCTAAAGTATAGTAGAGTTTAGTTAATTGTTAATCTATTGCCTATATACTAAATAGTCTATTTATTAATTAATATATCATAATGTATATAATATATATACACATTATACACACGCATTTTCGGCATATGCCTACAGCATGTAGTCTATATTTATGACGGTCAATCCTATATAAATAATATGAGGGCTTAGGCTTATAAATTATACATTACATAATTTAAAATTTTAATTTTTTTATTTTTATGGCCTTCTTATACATATTACTCAGTTTATTAAATTTTATTAGGATGTGTGTGAAATGAGTTCACAACCACTTTTTCGCCTACGAGGCTTACCTGTTGAAACACATTTACTAGAAGTGAGTATTTTTATAAAGCTCTAAATGGCCTTGGAATTAAACTTTTACAAAAATATAAATGCATTTATAGTGAAGACATTTTTTCTCATCTTCGTCTTCATGCCATTGGTCGGATTAGTTTGTTTTGCTGAAATTTTGTTGTTGTCCTCTTAAATTTGTCTTAACATTTTAGTTCAGTTCAATCTGAAATTGTACCTGTTGAATGTACTGAAATTAGTCTATTAAGCTTGTGCACAGATAAATAAATAAGTAACTGACCTCCCTGTATCAACTGATGCATATTAATTGGCTGCTAATATTAATACTAGTTGATAACTTATCCTTTTTGCTAAAAATTATTGTGCAAATAAAGCTAATAGCAGAATATGTCGTGTTTTACTTATACTCTTTCTTATTTAAAATTACTTGTACCATTTTCACATCTGCATTTGTTCTGTATTTTTTTAAGGCTCAATCAAAAAGAATTGTTCAAGGAATTAAGGGTAAGTTGGTTATTATATTGCAAATCTAAAATTTCTGAAATTTTTTTAATTGATTTTTTAAAGCTTCAATTGAGTTCAGAATGATCATCGAGTAATTATTGAATACTTACTTTAAGTGTTACAATTACAGTGGGACCTCGGAATCCAAGTGCCCTAGAACTCACACAACTTGGAATCCTAACAAAAAAAAATTCTAGCTATTTTTGCTAGAAAGTGGAATCCTTCTTTGGAATCTAATTGCCCTTCACATTGTTAGTGTGTTTTTTTCCTGGTGACCATTGTTTTCAAAATCAAAACCAGGATATTTTTAAAATGTAAAACCAGGACAATTAAAAGAGGAAAAATAATTTTGATTAAACTGAGAGCTCTTCTTTCAGGGAAGTATCTTGTCATTAGTGACACATTTTTGTAGTTTACCACCATGGGTTTTAAAAAATAAACAATTATTTGTGATCACACTGAGAGCTTATTTGTCAGTAAGACTTCCTTTTTAAAAAATATTATTATGATGCCAATTTGGATTAATTATATTTCTTTTAGCTGTGTCATTTATGTATGGCTGGATATCAGACATACTCAATCTTTTGATGAATATTTTACCTTAAAATCTAGTTTATTATTTAGTGTTATTATCATTTTGAAAATTTGAGTTTCTGGGACCCATGAACTGATTAATATAGTTTCTATTATTTTAAAGGGAAAAAACCGTTTTGGCAATCAAACCATTGGGAACTTGAACAGGGTTCTGCAATGGATTTAAAGTTCAGGTTCCGAGGCTCCACTGTATTATAATTTCAGTTCTGCAGCCTTCATATTATTTCAATATTTATTTTATTTAGGCTCTGCAAATGTAAGAGATAAGTTTAAAATTAATTTTAAAAAAGATTTATAGAGACGTAGGATATATTTTTTTATGCATATTGTTTGTACTATTCTTTTTGCTTTGAATGAATTAACTGCTATATGATATTTTTAAGAACAAAGCCACAGTAGCATGACGGTGGACACATCTCTTATTATGCATGAAAGTGACAACATGTCTACACTTCATGCAAAATTGCACAGGGAGGCAGATAAAATTAGGAAATGGAAAGTACAGATTGAACTAGAGCTTAGAGATAAGGTAAGTTATTTCTCACATTTCAGACTTTAAATTTAACAAAAATTGTATATTTTAAAAAATTTGGAGATGTATCTATTGTACAGTAAGTTAACCTAAATTAATTAAAATTTTTAGAATTTTAAAATTCCCATATTTTTTATTTATTTTAGGAGAAAAAATTGACAGAAGCCGCGTTGCGTATTGAAGCCATGAAAAAATCATTATTGGATCTCCAGGTAAGTAAAACAAATTTTACATAAAAAACATATATGTTTCTCAACCTCTTGTGTAGGACTGAGAATAGTTTATTTTAATCTGACTAATTGACACCGGCTTAAAAATGTGTACCCAAATTGTCTAAAGGAGTGGTAAATGTTAAAATGTTCATTATCTTGATATTTTCACCAACTATGAATAATACTTCCTTACAAAAGTAAAACATTTTATTGCCATCATTACTGCTGATAGTACCCTTTGCTATCAATTTAAAATGTAGATTGTTTAAAATGATTGAAATGATAATGTACTCCTATTACTGGCATAACAACATTCTGTAATGCTCTACCCCACCTACAAAAATCTGTTTAATATTTTTTTAGGAATGAGTATCAAATGTTTGAATGTGTTCTAATAAATCTAATTTAGCTAACAAAAAAAATTTGAAACTTTCAAAGAGATCAGTTTAATAGTAAAGGCAATCTGAGACATGGTACATGTTATTAAAAAAAATTGTGTTATTGTTGCTCTACAAACCTACACTAACATAACCTATACTACAGATTGCAAAGTATAATATTTTAAAATATTTTATCATGGACAGATAGTTTATAACTGTTTTAAAAGTATAATTTTGCCATTGTATGCATACATTTGTAAATTCTCCTTCATTTGTCATTCAAAATATCTCCGTTAAAATATTACTAAATCTAGGGCAAAAAAAAGTATAAGCCTATAAGAAGTAAGAAATTATTAAAAATATATTATTTCATTTTAAATGATTCTGCAGTTGGAGAATGAAAGATCACATGCAAAATTACAAGATGAAATGTCTAATAGAGAAGAGGTTATGAGAAGGTAAGAAAGGTAAAATTATTTGTAACTAAAATCCATTTAAATGCCAATAAATTATTAATTACCTTATAATTTATATTCTTTATTTACACTTTTTGGGGAATATTTCAGTTGCTGTATCTTAATTATTGCATAAATGATAATACTAATAAATTAGATTGAATTTTAATTCATATGGAAATAACATTTTTAAACTAGTATGCTTTTTTGAATGTTAGTTTCCTTTACAAAAAGGTATTTTTTCATTAAAATACATTTAAAAATCATTATATTGCATATACTTTTATGGATAATACATTTTTAAGATCATTGTCCGTTTGAAAATAACATTTTTCAGTGTACAAACTACAAGAGATCTGTGTAATATACTCAGATGTGAAGCATTAAAGCTGGATGATAAATTAACAAAGTGTAAGATAGTCAGTTTAACTCTAGAAAATAAAACAAAGATTTCATGTGGCTCATGAGTTAATGTATTTAATCATTTTGTTCACTTATGAAAAGCTTTTTAAGGCTTTATATTTATTTTTTATACTTAATATATACTGGCATATCTTTATTTTTATTTAAAGATTAGATACCCTAAGAATGATTACAAAATGATTGAAAATTCTTTATCAAAGCTCACAAAAATTAAAAATTCTTCAAATAAAAGCCTTTCCTTATTCTATTTTACTGAACATTATTCTCCTGAGCTTATTTCATATATTTGTAATCTCTTTACATTTACTAGGTGAGGCTGAAAAAACTGAGTTGAAACTTATTGAAAGTGAATATGTACATCATTATGAGGTAAATTACATGTTAGAAGTTTCATTGAGGTTTGATTCAAAAGTAGAGATAGAATTTAAGTTAAAATAATTGAAACACACTTTTCTGCCAAGAGCTTTTGTTGGACAATTACAATGAGACATGTTTTTTTAACAAATAAAACTTATCTTATCTTTTGTTGTCTCAGTTGAAAATATCAAATTGCTAAGTTACTTCACAAGGAAGATAATCAAATAAGCAGAGGCAACCGTCAAGGTTTTATTTGTTTGAGAACAACATTGAGCCCAGCCAAAATAGAGCATGACCAAACAGCATGAAAACGTGATGTCACAACACATCTAACAAAGTGGCATGCAAAACAATGCATAATCAACATTTAGTATTTTGTCATTTTCCAAAAGTCTCTAGAAAAATAACTAAATAATTAATTTTAATTTGAACAATTTCTTGGTATGCTCATAAATTATAAGCCACCTTTTATTTTTTTGTGTTGTAATTTCATTTATCTTTAGGGTTGTCTGTAGGTACTTTGACATTTGATTTTAAAATTACACTAACTCTAGTTTATAGGCCTATTTTTAAATGATTTTTTATCTTTAGATTCTAAATGCTTTGTTTTCTTATCAAATTGTAAAACAATAACAATTTAAAATTATCTTTTTGTCAGGAACTAAATGAAAAATTTAACTGTTTAAAAATAGCAGCAAAGGAGAAGGAAACAGAAATACAGAACCTAGGTATGAAATACTTCCGTTGATGTCATTGCAATTTTTATGAATGTTGAAATCTATTTAAACTATGTATTGAATTGTTTTTAACAAAAAATAAAATTTCTTTAATTTACATGGTTCTGCTTATAAATACACTAAAACAATTAATTTCTTGCATTAAATTACTGACTACTTTGAAAAATAATGTGAAATTTTACTATTTTATCAAAACAATAAAGCCTTTATGAAGTGGTGAATTAAAAAAAAATTAATGTAATTAACTTGTTTTGTACTTTTTATTTAAAAGAAACATAATTGAAAGAATAATACATAGAAAAATCCAAAGCTAAGCAATCAAACCGATACAGAAAACATCGGTGAAGAAAAACAAAAGATAATTTAAAATTGCATTATAAAACAGATATAGAGTACTAATGTGTATAATAAAGTAAAATAAGAGTTTAAGAAAACAAAATGAATTATATTTAGAGCAAAAATTATCATTTTTATCATTTAAAAATATGTGGTGTGGAGTGAGCATGTGTTGGTTAAAAAGTAAGGTGATTGAGATTTGTCTAAATGTTTAAAAATCAAATATAAATTTTAATGATAAAAAAAAAAATAGTATTTTTATTTTTCCATATTTTCAAAGTAAAGGTTGATCGGGAAAGTGCACTACAAAGAGAAAAGGAACTGACAAAAAAACTGAAAACCAGGGAAAAAGAGGTATTTTAATTTGAACAAACATTTTATTTAAGAAATTTATTTAATACATATATTTCAAATTTTTATTGAAACTAGTATTTTTTTTTAAATATTTTAATTAATTTATTTCATAGACTCAAAAATTAAAAGATGAACTTCATATCACCAGTCAAGAACTTGTTTGCACTAAAGCTACTTTGGAGAGTAAAGAAAGTAAACTTGAATCTACAATAAAAAATTTGGGTATGCTATTATTTATTTTATATTAACTCATTAAATAGCTTATGTAGAGAATTACATTTATTATATTATATGAACAGATGATACACATATTTATTAAATGAAAACATCTATCCAGATTTATTTATACTTGTAATCCACTGCTAAAATTTGTTTTCAAAACTTTGAAAAACAAATGAATTTCAAAATTTTTTGTTGTTATACTACAACATAAAATTTTTTTATATATCGTAAACATTACTTATTGTTTGTTTTAAGATGAATCTCTTCAAAAAGTTAGCTGCCTATTAAATGAGTTAGAGGTCAAAGAAAATGACCTGAAAGAATCATCACTTAAGATATGTGCGCTTCAGGTATTTAAACAAATACAAATTGAAATTAATAACATAGCTGATGCCATATACAACATTCATTTTTAATAGTTATAATATAACACAAGTATGACAAATTAAATTACATTTTATAACATAATAATAATGGCAGTAATGTAAACTGTATGAAGAATCTTATCTTTCCTTTTTTTGATGTTTTTTTTTCTTTAAAAAAAATATGTTTTAAATTTTAAAGTCAAATAAATATGATCTAATTTCATATTAAGAATTTCATTATCTTTATTCCACTAGGAAGAAATATGCATTTTAAATAAAGGATTAGATGAATTGGAAATAAATTTTAAATTATTGCAAAAAAATAAAGACATCTTGGCTATAGAGATGGCAGAGTCCAAAAGTAAACTTGAAGAGCAACTCGAAAAGGCCAATGAACAAGTTCAAACAACACAAAAAAACTTAGATGACAAGAACACTCGGTACGTAATATTTGAATTATGCATACTGTGTTGGAAAAATTAATTGCTTTGATTATAATATGCATAGTGATTTTAAAAATATAAACTTTTTGGTAATAAGTTGTTTATTGAATCAGGTTTTTTAAATTTACTTTTTGTTTTATATAAAATAATTTATGAAAAGTTCATAACTTTAATTTAATTTTTAGTAACAAGTTAATTTACAATTAAACAACTATTACCAATGAAAAAAACAACTATTACAGGCAGCAAACCTTAGAAAGTAAACTGATGGAAGCTGCAGCGATGACCGAATGTTTAAAAACTGCAAAAGGTAAATATGTTTTTTTACATATTTTTCATAGTATATCTGACATGGGGGAAACCCTTAGCTGCCTCTTGTTTTCATCTAACCCATCCAAGTTAATCAAGATATAAGGTCGTCAGCCCGGCTAAATATCATCTCCATCCTTTAGATCAATACTACTCATCTAAATGCAGTTGAAAGAAAACTGTTGACTAAAATAATGTAACACAATCTTTTGGATTCAAGTATTAGACATTTGAAAAAATTGAGAACTCTTTAATACTATCTCACATAACACCTGGAATCAATTGTTTCACAAAGATAACACAAGCATTTTCTCATATATATATACAGTGGAACCTCTCATAACGAGTTTAATTTGTTCCAGACTCTGACTCGTTAAGCGAAGCACTTGTTAAACGAAACAATTTTTCCCATACAAATCAATATAAAATACGATAATGTGTTCCATGCTGAAAAAAATAATAATTTTTCAAAAATTTTTATAACATTTATTCAAATAAAATTACTTATGAATTGTTAAGGAGTGTAACAACTTGGAATACAATTTAGATTTGAAACAAAAAATGTAAATAAAAATATGAATTTATGACAAATAATTAATCCTTTTTGACTAGAAAACTGTCTAAAGACATTTGTTTTTGCAGACGCTTCAAAATTTGACGAAAATGTGTCACAGCATTATCATTGAATAAATTTGTAGCACGAATAGCCACCTCTTTATTAGGGTGATGCTTCTCAATGTACGATGCAACCGTTTCCCTTTGAAGCATCCATCTCCTTAATTTTGTTCTTGAGGATAGTGCAGATCGTTGATGTTGACCGATTGTATGTGCGCGGTAGATTAGCAACGCTCACACCTTGTTCTTGCTTTTCAATGATTTTACATTACATTTCAACAGTTATTTTTTCTCTCTTATGATTGTCTTCTTGTGGTTTTTTCTTTGAAGACATTTTAGCACAGGTTATTACACTTTGCACATAAAAAAATTACCAATATTGTCTGAATACAAAATTTGTAAAAACTGGTGATCACACACAAAAACAATACACTAACAGACCGGAAGTCCCGGCTCACAAATGAATGTCAGGAAAAAGGGACTTCCCCTTTCTGTGTAACTCGTTATGCGAAATATCGCTCGTTAAGGGAGCAACTTCTTCACATATTTTTTTGCTCGTTATGCAAATTACTCGTTATGAGAGGTTTCACAGTATAATATATATGTGTGTGTGTGCTATTTATAATTAAGTTTTGACACTGATACAAAACACATGACATGGAGTTATTATGTAAAGTTTTCCTTTAAAATCTGTTCTGGGAGCATTTCCCTTAAACCTACAGCAAATCAGTGGTATAGCTAAGGTAGGTGTCACCCGTTGCGGTAAACTCATAGTCTTAGTGTCGCCCTTCAAAGTCAACAATGGATTTCTTCTTGTTAAAATAAGTTTACAGTATAACAATGATAAGAACAAAAACAAATTAATTAAATGTCAGGCGGTAAATGTATTTAATAACTGTAACATGTACTTAGAATCGCCGTTGGTATCAATGGAAAGCTTTATTTCTCAGAATTTAGATAAATATAGCTTCCTATCACTTAAGTAAGTTACCGAACACTTGAATGGGCATTGAATTATGGTCAAAAAGATGTTATTCCGACATAATTATAGGGTCTCCTTATTTCTGATGCATCAACCTTGAACTTTTAATAATGCACGCATTTGGATTGATTTCATGTGTGGAAAATTCATGTGTTATTGATTATCCTTTTAAGAAATTCATTTAGACCAAGCAGTGCGTGCTCTGTAAATATGCAATTTTTCAATTTGGTGTCACCCCCCTGACAATTTGGTGTCACCCCCCTGATATTGCACTCCTTACCCCCTATACCCCTCAGCTATGCCACTGCTGCAAATATATTAATATCTCTAAGGGGAAAATTAAACAGCACCTCTCATTAATAACTTGATGCTCTTATTTAAAGTTCTTGAAAAATGAACTCATTTTCTTTAAAACAATTCACTTATTAAAACAATTCATGATTTAGTAGGGTTTGAAATCAAGATTAGAAAGGAAAAAAAAGCACAATATTTTTAGGAGCCTTACAAAAAAAAGAAAAAAAGAAAATGGATTTTGTTATTATTTACCTTTTTATGTAACAGTGATATATATTAATGTTTGGTCAGATTTACTATTGCTCGAGAAAAATGATATAGAAATGCAATTGGGAGTACAAAAGTTCCAAGTGGTAAATGATTTACTCATATTATATATTTGATTTTTGAAATCTGTTACATAGAATTTATTTGAAGTTGCTGAAGTCATTTACTGTGTTGTTATTTTTCTGTATTTATTGTTTAATACATTTTTTTGTTATAATAAGTTGTTATTAAATAAGAATTTTAAGCAAATTGTACACATTTATTTAAATTAAGTAAATGTATAAAAACTCTGGGCAACTAAAATGATAAATATTTGTTGAATATGACATTATATTTAATTAGCCAAATAAACGATTGCGACAAAAAAGATGAAGAAATAGAATGATACATTTGATAAAATTGTATCTATTTTCTAATATTTGTACTTGAATGCTTCGTTTAGTTACCCTAACTGTCTTGTTTTATAAAAGAACAGTCTAATGGCAGCAAAAGCTGAAGATAAACAAGAACTTGACAACCTAAATGAGGAACTAAAAGCTTTGAAACAAACATTTGAAAAAGAAAATCATTGCAAAATCCAAGCTGAGGTTAGTTTTGTATTATTTGTTGTTAATTGGATGATGATTTTTTTTACTATAACTATATTACTTTTTTTTACAATATAATTTCTATAAATAATTGTATTAGAAAATCAGAGAATTTTAAAAAGTATATACTTGGCTTTGTGTATTTTTTTTATGTACATGAAGACAAAAAACGAGTTTGTTTTTTTATTGATGGATTAGCTTTCATAAAACAAAATGTATTTGTATTTCAGGAAACAGTCGTAGTTTTAAAAAAAAAAATTTCAGCATTGACAGTTGAAACAGATGATCTCACTGAGTGTATCGCAAAACTGAAAGCTGATTTAGATACTAAACAGGTAAAAATAGTTCAGCTAATAAGAACACTATCCACAATTTTTTAGATTTTCAACTTTGTAAAACAAGTAGAAGCACTTTGTGCCTTAAAAAAATAATATTAAAAAAAATGTATATAACTTACTATCTGATATTGAGATGAACTTCTTTCCAATTAAAATATTTTTTTCACTGTATGTAATTAACAATTTGGGCACCAGGAGAAAGGGGCACTTCAAAAATATGCAGACAAATAACAAAACTTGTATTGGAAACGAACGTGTTTAAAAAATTCATTGCTGGTACTAGATGGGGAGCACATGCTATTGCTACAGCAACAATATTAATATCTTATTCAAACATTTGAGAAGCACTTGACTGTATAGCTGAAGACCAGTATAAAAAATGGACATACTCGAAGAGAAGCAAATAATATAGTCAAAAGGATGATAGTTATAGAATTTGTCCTTATGTATTGAATTTTTGGAATGAGATTTTACCAAAATTGCATAAAGTTAACAAATTTCTACACCTTGAGGATGTGCACTTAAATACATGTGTAAGTCACAATGGCTATGAATCATTTGGTGATCAACTTTGTACTTCACATGATCATTTAAAAAAATATGAAGTGGCTACTAAAGAAATGCTGCCAGACGTGGATTACAAACTGACAAAAAAATTTAACAGAAAGAAAGTACCCAATGACGGTACACTTTAATGCAAGAAACAAATCTCGCATAAATGCCTTTTATGCAATTACTGATAAACTACAAACTGAGTTGAGAAAAAGAGGAGAGGTTTATAAGGTAATAGCAGAAAGATTTTACATACTTAATGATGTGCCACATACTATCACCTCATCATCATCTCAAAGTGACAGGTGAAAAGGTTATTAATGCTTATCCTGTGGACTTAAATAATAATATTGCAGTTTAATCTGATGTGTGGCATAAATTTAGTTCAACAAGAACAGTAAAAATAAAGTGCCCTCATGCAGAACTTTATAAAATAATAGTAGAAGTTAATATTGAGTGTTCTTTTTCCAATGTTGAGATTGAATGCTTAATATTCTTAAAACTAATGATAACCATTCATTTTCTCAATTTAAGTATATAAAAAAAAAACTCAACAGAACAACTGTGCAACTAGCCAGGTTTGATACTTAATAAAGATAAAGTATAAAATCTGGGGTGGTCAACGTTTTTTGTTTGTTTTTTTTTGTGCAGAGGGCCACATGGAAATTAATTAAATTTTGTTTTTGGTGGGTCACAGGATAATGATCCAGAAATCTTGAGTTCTGGACAATTATGTAAGATTTTAAAATTAAATTTAACATAATTTTAATGAGATGGTCTAGTTGAAATTTCGGATAGTATTAATTTACATACACAAGAAATAAAAAATAAAAATATTTAATTAGATTTTTGTAATTGCTTACAGTTTTTTAAACTAGTGTTCCATAAATACGGTCTCCATTTTATTTATTTATCTTAAAACACTTTTGATTTTTGAGAGAATGACAGATTTTGTTTACATTCTCAAAGACTTAGCTTCCTAAATCTGCTTTTAAAATTGTATGAATTTCTTCTGAATATAGCCCAAAATAAGGGAGCAAATTTTTTCCAACCTGATTCTAAAAAAATTGGTCATTATTTCTTTCCTATTGTATATTCCCTAATGTCAGTTGCAATTTTATGGAAAAATAAAAATGTGACTGATTGATTTTTAAAAAAAAGAATTAAACATGATAAATTTAAGGGTATTCAAAAGTAGATAATTTTGTTAAGTGCTTTAAATTTTATAGGAGCACTATCTCTTTAACTATAATTCAGTATTGGGGTCTGAAATATAAAGTTTTTCACAAATATCTCTTGCTTTGCCCCGCCCCGACCCTTCTAACACACAATGAAATCCTTTTATCATTAGTTTTAATTTTTTGTAATCAAATAATTTATTAGTGTTGATGGTACATTTTCCTGATATTCTTTATTTAAGTTTAAGATTTTATGCAACCTCTGAAAAGAGTTGTATATGCAACTCAGCTTAATGGATTAAATAAAGCAAAAAATCAATCAAAGCCTATGTTGTAAACAGATTCAGGATGTTTGTTTGAGACCTATGATGATTTATTTAAGTAAATTATTGGCTTTGTAATATGTTTGTTCATATCCATTTCAATATTTCAGGAAAATATTTTATCATTGGAAACAATTATATCAAATGGAGATAGTGAAAGTAAAAATCTTCAACGCCACATTGAAAAACTTGAAAAACTTAATGCTACTGAAAGGTTTAACCAGTTTATTCAATATCTTCATTTAATTATATATTTTTTTACTTTACTTGGTTTTTTTCTGTTGATATGTTTACTGTTAGATTTTTAAAAAATTGTGTTTGTTGCAATTGAACACATAAGGCATTTGTTTTCATTAAGTGGGATTAAGAATTTAATTAGTTACAGCTTATCTTTAATACACAAAAATGTCTGGCAAATGGAGGCCCTAATAAAGATTGGAAAGAGTTAGAGAAGATAGCAAGTGACTGGAAGGTTTGGAAAGATATTGTTAATGGCCTATGATCCCCTGGAAGTTGAAAAGGGAAAGAAGAAGAGAATGTTTCAGTAAAGTTCATTTTTCTTTTTCATGTTACTATCATGCATATCTGCCTAAACCATTCAACAAAGTTTTGAGTTGATTAGTCTAGTTAAAACAGTATCTTGAAATATGCCATACATTTTTTAAGACCTTTTATTTTTTTGAAATTTTATTTTCCTTGAGGAGTGCATTGTTTATGATTACCGGAAATTTGTTTGAACGAAATTTCGTCAACGGAAAATTGATTGACGGAAATTTGATTGAACTCTTTTTTCAGTTCAAACGATTCAAATTTCTTTTTCAACGCACTTTACCATATAGTAAAACAAAATAATTCATTCAAAAAGAAATTTCTTTCAAAAAAATTTCCTGAAACGATTATTTATATATACCACATGACAAAATCACATAATATGCATAGAAACAAAACTCACCAAAATGAAATTTATTTTTTTATTCCAGACAAAACATACACATTTTAGAAGAAAATTTAAATGAATTAAACCAAACATTGTTGCTGAAAAACCAAGAGCTCGACAGCAAAGACAAGGAACTGGAACATTTAAGAATCAATATTAAGGTTAATATGAAATGTGATGTACAACATATATTTGGATTATTACACTCCTTCATTGTGTCATTTAGTTAATAGATATAAAAAATAACCTAAATATTCTCACTATGCACAGTCCAATTTAATTCTTCGATGCATGTTAGTCTCATAACATTTTTATGACACATTACAGTTTAATATGCTGGAGATAAGTGAGGGATGGTTTGGTGACTGGGAGATAGATAAGTTAACTAATCATTATAACTTATGGATTAGATTCTTGAAAATTGCTATTTTTTAATTTCTTTGCTTAGGGGAGGGACAAGCACATAAAAAGGAAACAAAAGTTGTAACACATGACCCTATTTACTTGAAGTTGATAAGACCACTTCTCTCTGGAAATATTCATAATCAGAGATAGTTTTACTTGCACAAGTCACAACATGATTAACACCATCCTTTGTAATATGTCGTGTGGATAATCATATGTAGGAGAGACAATTTGTCATCTTGGATACTATATTAGAGAACACCTGTACAGCATCAATAAACAAGCCCTTTGTCCCGTTTCTAAACATTTCAAAAGTGCTTACCATAATGGATATTAGACTTTGCAGTTACTGGTATGTTATATGAGAGCAATACACCCGATAGAATTTATAATGAAAATATCTTAATAAAACTATTTGGTTTGTTGACTCCATATGGTATAAACCAAATTCACAATTTTAAACAGCTTCAACGACTTTTTCCTGTTTGGTTTTTTAAAATTATCCTTCCAGCCACTTTCTTTCTGTCTTCTGAGCTTTGTTTCCATTAGAGACTTGTGCCCATTCTTGTTCTTTTCTTTAATTTTTAGGTATAGGTAGGATATATTTATATTGTTACGTACCGTTATAGCTTTGAAAATTTAATCTTTAATTAAGATTTGACTCCTAGAATAAATAATATGTAATAAAGGACAGAGAAAAACAGTATGCGGCAAAGAAAACGATACCAAAACTAGTAATACTAACAATAGTTAATTTGATTATATTATTAAATTTCTTTTCATATTCAAAATATATATATGTATATATTTTATGTAAATTTAATTTTTGCTTACATTAATATTTTTTGTTTTAATGATGAAGGCATTTTCTTAAATGTTTAAATTTTTATTTTGTCTAACCATAATTAAAGTTTAACATATATAATTTATTGTTTTATTTACACATATTGTTTCTCTTGTTATTCATAATTATATCAAATCTTTAAATCTTCTTTTTGATTAGGATCTAATGTCAAAACTTGAAACAAAAGACAATGAACTTCAAAATATTTTGAAGGATTTTGAAGCTATGAGGTACTTTTAAACAATTCTTGTGTAGTCAAAAGTAATAATTATATATATGCTAAAATTAAATGCTTACCTTCACAAATTGAAACGTATTTATGGAAGTTATTAAAATAATGTTTCAATAAATTTTCACCTCTTATTTTTAAGGAGCGATTCCGGTTATCATGTAGATAAAATTAAAGAACTCACTTCGCAACTTAAAGAACGAAATGAACAAAGCAAAGAAAATGTGAGTGCTCTTTTTAAATATTATTACTCATGAAAATAGACAGAAATAAAACTTCAAGCACAAAGTATCCTGATTACTTAAATTAAGTTTTACTTCAAATATATTTAGATTTATGACAATATGAGAATAACACATCAGAATTGAAGTATAACCCTTAAAAAGAAAAGAAAAGCATATTCACTGTATGGTGCGTATAAAATTGTGTTGGCTGTACACCTTATATTAAGAACATATGCATAGTACAGTCACAGTCCTGTATTAGCAGATGAATCATATTAAAACAATTTGCTATATAACCAAAAGAATTCCAGTACAGCAGATTGTAGAGACACCTTAATAGTATATTAATTTAAATCATGCTTGCAAATTTCCTGTGCTTAAAGTAAAAGATTTATACCAAATGCTGTACTGTCCAACTTCATGGAAATTAAAAAAATTTTAGGAAGTAAACGTGCAGCTATATTATATGTTTAGGTCCGCCTATGACCTGTGATGCACCCTCCTTGCCCTGCCTCATTTTCTGTCTCAGGTTGATCCTGTAGTATAGGCCAAAACGTGCCAAAGTGTCCTCGTTTTATAGCCATTTTAATTGTTTCTATAGTATAGTACTTACTATCCTAGAGTCTCATTTTTATTTTTACTTAGTTTACATGTTTTTAATAATTGTAAAGCGCTTAGAGCTTTAAAGTAAGCGCTATATAAAAATGCCTAAATAAATAAATATGCTAAATAGACAATTAACCCGTTCCCACTAAAAGTCTTTAAAAAATTCTAGATGTTTTTAAAATATTTATTGGGTATCTGTTCCTCTGGTACCAAGTTTGAATTTTCCAGCCTCACTAGAAGTGCCTCATTAAATCTTGTTGTTTTTTTAATTTTTATACCTACATTAATTATACTTTATTTATTAGAATTAAAGGCATTAACCCAAAGAACCTTAAGTTTTGTCACCCTATAATTTCAGGATAAATCCTTAACATCACAACAGAAAAAACTTGCTGTTACCCTGAAACATAATGAAGAGTTGGAGAAAGAGGTATGAATAATGAATGATATGTTATATCAGTGGAAAATGTTTAAATTTATTTTGCATATATTTTAATTGTGTAGCTCTCATATAATATTGAAAGCGTGTTCTCTAATGATTTTTTTTTATGTTCAAGTATTTTATGGGCACTGAGAACTCTTTTCGAAACCTTGATTTTAAAATCAAAATTTTTGCTCACATTTTTGTAATATTTTTTGTACTCATGGTCTTGTCAAAAATTTTGTAACTTTCCAAATTTTTAAACCTCTCTTTATTCACTCAGTCACATGCTAAATTTTGAATTCACATTTCCTTTTCTTGAGGCTTTATGTGTTAACATTTTTTCACTGGTAAAGCAGTGTTGTTTAAATATATCTGCTTCTATGGAGACATAGATATTTATAAATGAAAGAGTGTGTCATATTTATTTTTATTTTTATGAAAGCTTCTTTTGACTGAGATTACCAACAATGAAAAAAACACTAGTTTCAATGAATCCATAATTATTTGTGTGCATCAGATTGCTTTCTATTTTATGTAAAATATATGAGGGACTGCTTTTAAGCAGTTTGATATAAACCTCACTAAAAATAAATTATTTTGCAAAACATTGTGCAAAATTATCTTGCTAATCTATTTCAGATAATCATTTTACGAAGTAAGTTAGAACTTGGTGACAAGACACTCTTGGAACAAGATAAAAAACTGAACAGTCTCCACAAGGAGCTAAATATTATGCAAAAGATCAAAGATGAAGCAGAAAGAAGAAGGCATAATTGTGAGGAGGAAATGCAAAGGCTAAAACAGCTAACTTTGCAAGAGCATGAGGCTGCTAGATTAGCCATGAAAAAGGTATTTACCTAACTATATTTTCAGAAAGCTTAAAACTAAATAATTTATCACTTCAGCTAAATATTTTTTTAATTATACCGTATACATTTTTATTCTGCTGTGGAGGCTGGGGAGAGGTACCAACATTTAAAACTATTTGGTGTGTCATATTGTTTCTTGCACCCTCTGTAGACCATTATTAGAATATTATAAGTGGAGCTTCTATTTATTGTGATCTAATTGCCTTTTTTTTTTTGGTTCTAGTTAAATCATTACTTATGCTTCCCCTGTAATTGTAGTGCAGCCCTTTAGTTCTTCTTCTTCTTCTTCTTCTATATCTTAAGGGCCCACGATCAATTTATTGATCATTTTGGCTCCTATGCATGTAGATGGGATTTGCAATGTTTCTGTTCCTGGTGTTGATGAGGAAATTTCACAGATTTCCAGTGCCACTTTGTTTTTAGGCTCTTGATATTCTGCAGCCCTCTGTCATGTGCCTCATGTTATTGTATGTACCACTGTGAAACCTTTTGTAACTTATTCTGATTCTACTATTGTGAATACTGTATCACAAAGTAATTTTTAGCTATTTGGATGTATTATTTCTAATTTAATGCGTTTAAAAGGTGTATTGCTTTGTAATGTTATGATTTTCTCAAAATAATTGTAGTTTATATATACTGAATATCAATTATTTCAAATAAATTATGTTTAATTTTTTACTTTAATTTGAATTTGAAGGCTACAGAAATGCAAGTGAATGCTCAGAAAGAGAAAGAGAATGCAATTGCTTTAACTGATTGTCAGTTGTCTGAAATGATGGCTACCTTAGATTCTTACAAACAAAATAATGAGAAATTAATTTCTGAAAAAGATAAAGAAATTCAATCTTTGAGAACCAAAGTTGAAATGGCAGAACATCATTCTCAAGTAAGTTTAAAACAAGAATTCCATATACATGTATACTTTAATAAATATTTACTCATTGACCTGTAGCAATGTAAATAGCCTATCCATCTATCTAACTTTGAAAAATGGGCTATATTTTTATTCAAGTTTCCCAAAAATATTAGCTGCAATGCTATGTCAATTTCATCATGTCCTTTTCAAAAGTTCAAATTATGACTAAGAAAAATGACCTTTAGTTTTTAGTACTAAAACAAGGGAATCGACTTCACCAATGTAGTTACCCTAATGACTTTAACATATCAAGTAAGTCCCAGTGCTTGTTCAAAATAATAGTTGGGGTTTATGCACTCCTACAAAGTTGACGAAGCCTCACCTTAATTGTAAATTATTGTGTTTTGATTTTAACATTTTAAAATACCTTTTATTATTTTTTTTCCAAAGGAAAATGAAAAAGAATTAATTGAATGGAAAAAAGAGGTTGAACAATTGAGGCTTCAAATCTCTTCTTTAATTCTTAGACAAGAGGTAGACTTTATTTAAATCCCAAAGGAAATTCATTTGAACTGAATTAATTTAATTAGTAATTTACCAAATAAATAAAATTTCAGAGAGGAAATATAAATAAATATTTTTTTTTAAATTGGGACTGCTTCATTTAAAAAAATTCCTTTTGTATTTATTCACTGCATCAAATTAATGATTGATACTGTGGCTTAAACTTAAATTACTTAATAAATTTAGTCACTTCAAAATTTAGAATCTTATGCTACTTGTTAACTTATTGATAACTTATGTGAAATTTCTGAAACTTTTAAGGAAAAGCAAATTATTGTTGAAGATTCAAATTCAGGATCTGAAAAGAACCTACTAAGAACACCTCTTGTGAGAGGGAAATTTGATATATCTGATGACAATGAGAAAAAGGTTAGAAATGTGAAAGTCAATAATTAGAAGAGACTGGGATTCGAAAAAGTTGTTGAGCAAATTTTTTTGTCTTTTCTTTTAAATTTATTTTTAACCTATCTAAATTAGGTTTATGAACTAGAACCTCATATTCTATTATAAATTTATAACTGTTAAGGAACAAATTGTTTTTTTATAATAAAGTATAGTATCCTTATTTTGACATCCCCAGCATCTAGAATTAAGTCCAATGTTTGTTGCTGTTACTCCAAAGAAACCAAATCCTCAAACACCACTAGCCCCTGTTACACCAAAGACCAGTAACCTCAAAACTCCACAACGTAGCATCCTCAGAGTTTGTAACTCTGTTACCAAGAGACGAAAAGTTGCTTTTAACTCAGAGGACATGCCATGTTCTTCTGATGATTCCGACCTTATGGAGCTGGATGTGATTGCAAGTCTAAATAATTTTTTAAATAGTTTAATCCAAATATGCTCAAATAAATTAGTTTAATCTAAATATGCTCTAGTATTATCTTATGTTTTCAAAACTGCACTTCTTTACTATTTTTACAAATTTGGATGAAATTAAAATTCTAAAATGTTAGTCTTTCAATCCCATACTTATTTCAGGCTGATATGAATTTCTCAAATGATCAACATGTAGCTCTGATTTCAAAAACTTCCCCCATAGCTGAGAGAAAGGGAAGTGCTTGTGAGCTGCCCCACAGAGCAACACCAAGCAGAATTCCATTACATAGAAGTGTAAGAGAAACTTCTAAAAGACAGGTACTTCAATTTATTTCCAAGCAGATTTTTAAAAAATTAACCATAAAGTCTTAATTAAAAATTAAGCTTTCTTTAGATAAACTGCAAAAATCATGTTATTGTTTATTTGTTAAGCTTAGCAGGGAATAAAATACCTCTTACAAGAAGATAATATTATGCACAAGCTCATTACTTACTTTCCATTTGTTTTTAAATGAGAAAGACATTTTAAAGAATATTTTTAACTCTACACTTTAACCAGATGTTGTACGCAAAAACTCCTGAGTTACCTAAAAAAGTTTCAGAAACTCAGACAAATCTAGACAGGACTGAAAAATTAATTGGAAACAGAACTAAAGTTGAGGTAATGAGTAATTCATATTTCTGTTATATTCTTATATAATTTGGTGACAGTAAAACTTTTTATTTTATTTAGTTGATAGCTTTTGATTTAGAAAGATGATCTTAATAAACCATGTTAGTTAGTGTGTTTTGTGATGAATGATTTTCACCTTAACAAGGTATTTTAATGTCACGTTTCATTTTTTTTCCTTTTGCTAATTTTATGTGAAGCGTGGTGAGCCTAGCCCTATGCTGGGGTAGCGCTATATAAGACCACTTTAATAATAATAATAATGTCTTTTGTTGTCAACTGTGAAATATTTCCTAATTAAAATACCAGCCTGTCATAAAATTTTGTTATAGACTAACATGAGGTTTCTTATCTTTCTTTCCCAGAAACCTGATGACGCTAAGATGAATGTCAGAAAAATGCCAGTCAAGAAAACATCAAAGTTTTTCACTGCCTCACCTAAAAATAGGGCCATGAATGCAAAAGCAAACAAAGCCAAGTCAAAGGATGGGGAGACAGATTGGTTTGATCTTGATTCTGTTTATGGCTTTGTCTGTGAAGATTAAAATGCTTCAAATTCAGGTTTAAATGTTTCTGTGATCAGTTGTTAAACCTTAAAGAATTTTTTATTAAACACTCTGTTTTTAATTATATTATGGCCTATATTTGCATTTATAGGTTTGAGAACTTTTATTAATAGATGTATAATATTTAATACAAAAGTAAATACAAAATGTATGATATTTTAACTATTAAAAAAAAAAAATGTCTTTGCATCTTAAAAAAAGGAATTACTATAGACATACAGTGCAGTCAATCTTCAACTTAATTAGTTCATACCTGTAAGACCAAGCATATTAAGGAGAAGTTAGTAAATTTTTTTACCATGCACACTTCTGATAAGATGAGAGGCTTGGTAATTTATTTTACTTTTGTACTCAAAAGCTATGTTTAATATTTAGTCTGTTCAAGTGAACATTATAATTTAAATAAATGAAACATTACATTAAGATTTATATTTTAACTTTCAAAGATAAATGGATTTAATAAGTTATTTTTGAGTGAATTACAGATGACATAGATAGGGACTAAATTCCCAAAACACTCTAATTAATAAAAGAGTTATGATCTAATATGAATGCTTACCTTTTGACTGACAACAAATTAAATAATTTAAAATATGCTATCTGATTATTACATTGCTATACAGACCCAAGATAGGACAAACTATCAAATCAACACGTTTCCCAATTTTCAGTTTATCCTCAAAATGGGATTCTAGAAAAACAAAAGGTCTGATAGCACGGCCATTTTGTAATCAAGTGCAACTTTTCCAAAATAATTTATCTAATTTAGTGTTTGTGAGCAGTCCATTCAGTTAAGGATAAGTAGGAAAAATAATAAGTTATTTTTAATGTCCATGAGACTGAATCATCTTGAGATTGCACCAAATTGTATTCTTGTTGTCATGACAGAGGTCTTTCTGTTGAATTCTATAAAATGGTTTATTTGTTAAAGGCAATTTGATATCTAATGACCAATATCTTATTTATTTACTTGTCAAGATATACAAAGTTACTGACTAGCAGTTAGGCTGCTTGTATCTGAGTTGAGGATTGCCTGCCTATATTTCCTATAAAATTAGAGCAGTAAATAGAGCCTAAATATATTACTACAATTTACGCCTATGAGATATATTTTGTACAAAAAAATATCATATTTTTCTATAGGTTTACTCACCAGGTGTTTTTCAGTTTTTTTAAAGTAAAAATTAGATGTTAATGAAGCAGACAACATACTGCTCTTAAAGGTTTTTTCTGTGAATGTTGTCACAAATTGTCATAAAACAAAGCTTAATAATGCTGTAGGCCCTACTCAAACCATTGAAACACCCATGTGATGCTTTTTGTTAAGTTCTTATAGGGTATTTACTACAAGTGTCATAAATAGGCCTATATAGTCATGAGAACTTTTTATTCCATCAACTCTAGTGCTGAGACTTTAAAAAGTTGACTAAATTTTTTGTGTTTTTCTTTTCTTGTTCAGACAGAACAATTACAAGCAGCAATAAGTTCTCATTGAAATTGGTAGTAATAGTTATAATCTATCTTTCTTCCTGCACTTTAACAATTGTGAATGTTAAAATTGTGAACTTGCAAGTATTGTGTAGTTAAAATTGTTATAGTTTCTGTTTATAAACTATTGTTTGTGTATTAGAAGTAATAAAAGTAATAAAAGTCTGCTTGTTCTCAAGAGTGATTTTTAAGTTTTAAGCGACATTAAATAGAATTTGAGTAATTTAACAATAGCTTGGCACCAGGTGCTTTGAAAAGGTCCTGTAATGATAAAGCCTAATTAATCTATTGCTTGTATCTCCCCCTTCCTATATAAAAGCCAACAGCCATAAAAGAGTATCATTTTCTCTAGCAGCTATCATCTTGGATCTAGTGATTGTCTCAAAAAGGTTGAAAATAAAAAAAATGTTGACTCCTATTAAAATTATAAATATCTAATTTGATATGGCGTTACTGGTGGTGGCAGAATTATCAATGAAATACGTTAATATGGCATTAAAATAATGATTGTTCCAATTTTTAAAATAACTATTGAAAAGAATTTTGAAATGAGTCAAATAATAATCCTCAACTGTCTACCAATGAATTGGAATAGATTCATAGGGCCTACTCACAGCAAGAATATCGATCCCCCGTGCATTCCCTCTAAAGATTTCTTCTTTCATAATTTACCACTTCTTGCTGTTTACACTGAGGCGATGACAGTGATTCAGAGATGAAAGAGAGTAATCTCATATAGATTTCTGCTTTTCTATGATGCCTAAGAAGGTGCTTTAAAAAATGTATTTCTGCCCAAGCAATCTAATTCAGATTTACACCTTGCAAAGACAATTTAATGACTACGGTTTTGATGTTTGTGAAGAGACAACCTAAAGACATGTTTTTTCTTTATATGATATAAATCAAGAGGATTATTAAGGGCTGGGACAAGACTACACGTGGACTTGGACACATAAATCAATAATGACAAAATTAATAAATTACATTCAGACATACTTTAAAATATATTTAAAAATAGGAGAGGTGCTTCTGTAAAAGATAATACAAACAACAATACACATTAGTATATAAAAAATAATATGAAATAATATAAATAAGCCATGAATTTAATACTAGATTGATTACAAGCTCATAACAGTTGTTATAGTTTAGATGTAATGGCATTTATATTATGCTAAACAAAGGTGCTTTCAAATGCCTTTTTCCTGGCAAAAATGCGAATCATAATTATCATAAACTGAGTCTGTTCTTGCAAAATTGATTGATTTTGAGCCATCACCTCTGTGATATATTCGACTTTAAATAAGTTTGCTGAATGAGCACTCTGCAAGATGGCAGTGGCAAGAATTGTAAACGGGATACGGAGGCAAACACATATTATTTGGAAAGTTTCCTTTCAGCTTGTAAATTTTCAAGCAATTTAGTAGTCCTTCAATGGACTCAGTTGGCCGTCTCCAAAATATGCACGAGGAACAGATGGCAAATGACTTAACTCCTTTAAAATATCTGCCTTGTCTTGACTCCTTTAAAATATCTGCCTGGTCTTAACCCCTCCAAAATATCTGCCTGGTCTTAACTCCTTTAAAATATCTGCCTGGTCTTAACTCCTTAATAAATATCTGCCTTGTCTTAACTCCTTTAAAATATCTGCCTGGTCTTAACTCCTTTAAAATATCTGCCTTGTCTTAACTCCTTTAAAATATCTGCCTGGTCTTAACTCCTTTAAAATATCTGTCTTGTCTTATTCTTTTAAAATATCTGCCTTGATATAAGCGGGATATTGATCGCCAGTAATTTTGATTTTTCTTACAGCTAAATTTGAGGAATTGATAGGTACTTCCAGAGGAAGCTGAACTTCTCAGAAATGTTCACAGCATCATTGAAACGAACAGTGAGTCAACCAATAACATTATCCAATATAATTACATAGAAGACAGACTTTCTGATATATGCTTGACAATGGATTCAGCCATTTTATCATTTTTAGACAAATCCACTTATTCTGTAGCACCTTCGTCATCGAGCCTCTACCTTTTGCGTTTTGCTTCATCCGGTGTACCAGAGAGTTCAATTTTATGCACACATTAGAAGCAACATGCCTGTCTTTGCTCCACATCCTTTTCCAGCTGCTCCAAGGATTTGTCAGTTCTGAAATGAAGCTTTTTAAGTTGGACACTTCAACATCGAGAGTTGCATTTCTTGACTGGATAACCTTGTTACAGATATCAGCAGAAATTAATACTCTGTACTATACAACATACTTTATCATACAAATGAAGGATGTGACTTAAAGCAAAGCTCCATTTACATCTGTTTTTGTTTTAGCAGTTAGGATCAACCCCAAGAGGTTTTCTAATGCTAATGTGATGCCTAGCAGGTGGGCTACAAAGGGTTTTATACTTTCAACTCGGTCTGACCATTATGTGTTAGAAATACCGTGAAAAGAACAGCCAATACACTTCTGCAAGATTTCCCATCTCTGTGGACTAGACCTAAACAAGTATGTACATATTGAAGTATGCTAAGGATTCAGGAATACATTTTCTGTTGCATCATTTCCACACTAATTGAGTGTGTGGCATCGACACATCAGTGCTATGTCCCATCCTGTTTTATGGCTTATGTCAACAAACTGTAAAAATATTTAAACAATAATACTGGTTTTCATATGCTATTACATAACGCAATTTTTTTTATTCGTTTAACGTGCGATAAATCGGAGTTGAAAAAAAAAATAACAGCCAAGTACATTGCAGATTTTCTGTCCCCCAAAATGTGTTTCTTTACAAGTTAGGAACATTCAGGAATTGACTCGTTCTGAGAATCAGAACTGACAAAATGTACTTGAAGTCGTTCTCGTTTTGCTTGTGACTCTTTAATCTAACAACACCATTTTTTTAAAAATGACATACTCTTTTAGAATTGGATCCTCATGAGACAATCATTATATGACTCCAAGACAATGTCGACGATTGTCCTTTTCCCCAATGAGCTGGGAGCTGCCACGCAAAACAAGCCCCCGGTCACCAAGGAATAGTACTACATCAATGATTCATTTCATGATGTTTTACCAATTGACACATTCTGTTTCAATTGATCCCGCTAATAGAGTGTAAATACCTTTGCCCTATGACACTTGACCAGGGCGTCTTTCTAGTTCGCGGACCCAGAAGCACTGTCTATGTCTATTTATTCTCTCATGTTCTGGGATGCGTATACAATATGTTCGACTCTTTTTAGCTGCTAACCATCCTTATGTTGATGCAAACATAGACTTAGATGTTGAGCTAGTGCTGCAACCGATATTTTTACAAAATAATCGACGAGGAAAGCAACATAATACTTATTTAAGTTCACCCCAGACAAGCCTATCTCTATTATGATTTCATCATTTAAA